TCGGTCTTGTCACAAGGTTTTGTCAAACTTGTTTAGTCGTTGAGAAAATGGAATTGACTCGAGAAAATTCAAGAGCGATGACTTATTATGACATTCAAAGTGGTTTAACACAAAAACAGTGTGTTGACCGGATGATTTCTGCATTTGGTGATGAAGCCCCATCCAAAACCACAATTTATCGCTCATTTGCTGAATTTCAACGTGGACGTGTCAAGCTCAGTGATGATCCCCGTCAAGGTCGTCCAAAAACTGCAGTCACCCAAGAAAACGTTGATGCTGTGCGTAAGCTGATTGAGGAAGATCGACATGTGACATACCGCGAAATTCAGGCAACTTTAGACATTGGCATGAGTCAAATACAAATAATCTTGCATGAACAATTAGGTGTAAAAAAGTTGTTTTCCCGATGGATACCGCATTCGCTCTGTGAAGAGCAAAAAGCGGCTCGCGTTACTTGGTGCGTCAGAACTCTCGAAAGATTCCACACAGGATTCTCAAATGCTGTATACAACATCGTATCAGGTGACGAATCCAGGATATACGCGTACAAACCCGAAACAAAAAACCAGTCACGAGTTTGGGTGTTCGAAAATGAGTTAAAGCCAACAAAAATTGTTCGTTCACGGAGTGTTGCAAAAAAAATGGTGGCCACATTTGTCTCCAAAACCGGCCATGTTACGACTATTCCTCTTGAGGGACAAAGAACGGTTAATGCATAATGGTATGCTAGCATTTGTTTGCCACAGGTCGTTTCTGAACTCCGTAAAGAGAACTGCAAGCGCCGCATCATCCTCCATCACGACAATGCGAGTTCTCACACCGCACACAGAACAAAAGAGTTTTTAGAGCAAGAAAACATAGAATTATTAGACCATCCGCCGTACAGCCCCGACCTAAGCCCTAATGATTTCTATACTTTCCCTAAAATAAATAATAAATTGCGTGGACAGAGATTTTCATCACCTGAAGAAGCTGTGGACGCCTACAAAACGGCCATTTTGGAGACCCCAACTTCCGAATGGAATGGTTGCTTCAATGATTGGTTCCATCGTATGTAAAAATGTGTCAAATTTCGCGAAAAATACTTTGAAAAGCAATAAATACATTTTTAAATAGTAATGTTGTGTCACTTCTTTAATTCCCGAAATTTTCAGTGCCGCCCTCGTATACCTGTCTTTCAATAAACTTCCTGACATTGACGCAGAGGCAGCGAATAAGCCGAGAGCTGGTAGACATTTTGAGCTAGGTATTTGACAAGATTTCAGCGCGCCTCAAATACCTACCTAAAATGTCTTTTTTTATAGAATAGGCTGACAAACGAGCACGATCCGATCATTCGTGCTACAACTATACTGGGGAAGGACCACACTTTTACAGAATACTAGTGTAAAATGGCAGCTTGACACTGCTGTGTTTCGTATGGTGAGTGTAAAGAACCGGAGACCCGTTTTACTGGAAAAGAAGCGTTCCATCTTAGTCCTCAAGGGTGACAACACATCTGAATTTTGATTCTTTATTGAGGATATATGTAGATGTCTATGGGTCACAGCAACCACTTACCATCAGGTGGACTGTGTGCTCGTTTGTCACCCTATCCTATAAAAAAAACAGACTAATGTGCAGTTTTACCGATGTTTGGACGAAAAATTATTCGTTCATTAGATCAGTCTCAAATAGAATAGAATAGCATAGTTTTTATTCAATATTGATTACAAGTAATACTTATTGAAAGTCTTTTTTTACTTTTACTACTGGTTCGGAAAAAGCCTCTGTCCTGGAAACAACCAGCAAGAAACCCAGCGGGACTTTTTTTTAAAACATCACTTACATTGTAATATTTATACAATTTTTATGAAAACATTTAGAAACAGCATGATAGCGATCACCTCCTTACCAGGAGTTATTATCAATCATGTACTCTTTAGTAGTATAAAAACCCTTACTAAACAATTTTTGCTTATTTAATATTTTAAACTTTTTGATAAACAACAAAAATAGAACAAAAGTCTTAAACACAAATTATAATTATGAAGACATGTGGGATTTGAAGACTAGAGTTCCATCAAAATATTGTCAATAGTTCGTTCGTTACTACACTATTCGTTAGCGAATGGGCAGACGGCGTGGGACTTATTAGAGACTAGCTGTTCCGCGCGACATCGCCCGCGTGTAATTTGGGTTTTGATTTTTGCGAGGAACCCTAATTGCTGCCGGGGCCTCACAGACCGCACGTCGGTACTTAAAGGTTAATGTTGTTTTGGCCAGCCTTTACCAATCTGCTATTGTATTTCGCTTGACCTTTGCTATATGATAATAGCTTGGTCAATAACATGTAGCAGATAAATGAATGTTTCATCTTTTATTTAAGCAGTACGTCCCTAAGCTCATATTAAACGGGAAGAAAATCGATAAAACTGTTTGCCTATTTTAAAGAACCTGTGCCTCCAAATGGTTGGAGACGTTAGATTATGACAAAACCGAAATAAACCGTGTAGTGGTGGTGTAAGAATATCCACTACTCTATTTCATCCCGTGGGTGTCGTATATGTGACAGATGGAAATAAAAAAAAAACGAGAAAATTTGCGGTTGTTAATTCGCTTACCAAGCGTCATTATTAACTTTAATCGGGCTTGTTGTAGTTGCGTTTGAAATATCTTAGAACTCTAGCAATCAAAGCAAAATTCGATGTACCATAAATACACTTGTATGCTTGCATGTTATCCATACAGTATTGATTTTTTTTTGGAGTTTATGGCCTGGCATCTAGACCTTTAGGCCAAATATACAGTATTGATGTAACGATTAGTGTTGCCAGATCCACTGGATCAAATTTCGGGCTGGAAGGTAAAAATAATAGGGAATTTAGGCAGCTACAATTTCCAGCCACAGCGCCGTATTCGATCATGAAGTGGACAAACGCTAAAGTGTGTGACTTAATTAACCTACACCGCGTTCGTCCTGTTCTGTGGGACTGTCGTTTGAAAGAGTAGAAAGACAGGAATAAAAAACAGGACGTTCTACTAGAAAACGCTGTTAGCTTTGATGTAGATTTACAGGAATTGTAATGAAAAATTAAGAATTTGGTATGTCATTTTTTACGATAAATAAACAAGGAGAGATTCAAGTAAGTCTGGTGCGGGAAATGACGATGTGTACAAAAGTAAATGTTTCTGCTACAACAACAAGCTCTTTCTTAAAGATCGAAATGAACCAAAAGGAATGACGGATACAATTACGCAGGTAAATATATAAAAGTAATTAATCCACACAGTAATTCGTAATTTTTACTAGGAATTAATATACAATATACACAATTTTAGGCTTATCGTTGGTCGTGTTGAAAAGTTACTATTCCAGCCGGGGAAGTAAAAAATTCTGCAAATTCATTTGCAACTGCTTGTGATTAATCAGTGCTTCTTCTTGAAGTCCTGGGAATGATAACCAATGCTTGATTTGAAGGCGATTGTCTCCAATCTCCTGGATTGATCTCACGTGTGGTCGAGCACTCAGAGTCAAATGTCCCTGGGGGTAGGTCATTTTATCGAATCAAAATCGATGGACTCTTAAGGTGGTAAGTACGATAGACGCTAGATGGCACAAACACAAAGACCTGATTTTCGGATTTGCTTTGCTGAATAATTTTCTGAATAACGACTTTATTTTTATCTGGGGTACCTTGTCATTGCCTATACTTGCAGCACCTAATTAGCACTTACTTTCTTGCTATTAATATTTATCGTATATCTAATAACTTCATTGCGTTGCTAGCAACGCAAATTTCAACAGTTCCTTGCGGTGAAAATTTTAGAGCACCTAATTTTTAAACTTGGCACCTAATTATCACCTAAAAAGCCCCTAATTTTGGATATTTCCAAATGCAAATTCCCGACTTTGCGTTGCTAGCGATACACAACTTCTATAATTTTTACTAGTTGTGACCCAGAATCCATTAATCTTGCGTTTGTAAAGTTCAAACAAAATTTTGAAAAAATTGGCTTTTAATCTTGTTCGGAAACCTTGAAATTCGAGTAGTATGCGTTAAGAATATGTTAGCCGTCAAATGCCTCTTGTACGCCGACGATTATCATACTCGTAAATATTTGCGTCGTCGGTGGGTGAGATGCAAATGATGGTTAAAATAATGAACATAATTATGGTTAAAAGAAAATGGAATAAAATTGAACGCGCAAGTAAGACGAGTGAGAAAGAATGTAAAACGATATGAGATATAAGAATAGAAGAGGGGTTGGTGAGTTTGTTTATTTAGACCATAGATGCACAGACCGCGGCCCGCCGGTCGAATACTGGTGGCCCGCCGACAGCAAAAATAATACTCCTGTACATTCGAAAAATATTGAATTATATTCCAGAATAAAACCAAAAAAAGTATGTTCGAAAAGTAATTTGAATCTCGCGCGCGCGCTCTTAAGTGCGCTTATCGGTACGCCGTGCATGCGTTGGTAACAGCGGTCGGTAATGTTCGTGCTGATCTCGGTTAAATTCGTTTTCTTAACACGACGGCGCGGTGACGACGGCAGCGCGGTGGCGGCTTATCCACGGGTTATATTGTTAGAGCAAGCGAGATAGCATTAGTCCCGAATTCCCGATTGCTCGCGTAGGTAGTTACACGAAGCTTCCAGAATCGGTTTCGTGATTTCTCCAGACAGTTTTCGACTCTATACGCGCGGTATAAAAGCCACGCTAACCGCAGCGAGCGACAGTTCGGTTTTAATTTGAGTGAAGTGTCAATAGTTCTAGTGTAGATTTTAACTCGACTAGCCGGTGTCATATATTTTGATCCACATTCAACGTAGATTTCCCGTCAAGTGGCGTGTATAATTGTGTTGTGAAATCGTAAGTAAAACTCTGTTATTAATAAGTGTTTCCCTACCTATTTAATCAATTATTTTTGGTAATTTAAAAAAGGATGGGTAATTTAAGTAGGTACTGTAATTGTTTTTAGGTGCTGTGTTAATCCTAGCCAGGATTAGAACGCAACATGGACAAGCCAGGACCTAGTAAAAAACGTAAGGTTAAAGATGAAAATCGGCAATTTCAAGAAATTTGGACTGTGAAATACTTTTTTGTATGGTCGCATAACAAAGTCGTTTATTTAATTTGCAAGAGTTCTGTTGCGATTGCAAAGGAATATAATATAAAAAGGCACTATGAAACGCAGTATCCTACTTTTACCAAGTTTACAGGCGAATTAAGAAAGCAAAAAATGTTGTCTTTAAAACGGGAGCTTATTGGTCCGCAAGCTATGTTTACAAAACCCATTCAAGATTCAGAAACAGCTACAGAAGTTAGTTATGAAATTTCTCGAATGATAGCAAAGCGAAGTCGCTCCTTCAATGATGGGGATTTTGCAAAAGAATGCATAGAAATTGCCGCTAAGAAAATGTGTCCAGAAGCAGCAAAAAAGTTTGAGAAAATTCAACTGAATCGTATGACTATCCAAAGACGCATTATGTCTTTGTCAGGTAATAGTGCGGAACAATTAAATGAAAAAACTAAGATCATTGAATTTTTTTCATTAGCACTCGACGAATCCACTGATATTAGTTCCACAGCTCAACTTCTGATATTCATACGAGGTGTTACTCAAGATTTTGAAGTCTTAGAAGAGTTATTAGGAATGTGTTCATTGAAAGGTCAAACCAGAGGAGTTGATATACTCAATGTACTTTTGGATGAGTGTTCAAAAACTGATTTGGACTTATCAAAATTATCGGGAGTTGCGACTGACGGTGCTCCTTCGATGATTGGTGTCAATTCTGGTTACTTTGCTGAAAAAGCATCTGCAAGAAAAAAACATAAACGCTGAAGATCTCATTCAGTTTCACTGCATTATACACCAAGAAGCCCACTGTTCTATAAAAACTGAATTTCAAAATGTCATAAAAGTGGTAGTTTCGACTGTAAATTTCATAAAATCACGAGGACTCAATCACAGGCAATTCAAACAATTCCTTGATGATATCGAAAGCGAATATGGAGATTTACTGTATTATACAGAAGTAAGGTGGCTAAGTCGTGGATTGACACTGGAACGATTTCTAAATTTAATAGAAGAAATTGTAATATTTCTGGCGGAAAAGCAAAGGGATGTCCCGGAACTTAAAAATCCTGATTGGTTGTGTGATTTGGCTTTTTAGTTGATATTACAAATCATTTGAATGTCTTGAACACACGGCTTCAAGGCAAAAATCAACTGATATCCCAGCTCTACGCTCATGTATCATCCTTTCAATGCAAGCTGACACTTTTCAGATCGCAATTGAATTCTGGAAATTACAATCATTTTCCGAATTATAAGAAAATGGCTGAAAAATTCAACAAAACTGCGATTAATTTCAGTTATGTAGAAAAGCTAGATATTTTGATTCAATCTTTTCAAGACAGATTTTCGGAGTTTATAAAAGTGAAACTTCTGTTGGACATATTCAGCAATCCTTTCACGATTTCAGTTGAAAATGCGCCAGAGTCAATGCAGTTAGAAATTATCGACATTCAAAACGACCAAGATTTACGCAACAAATTCAACGAAAGAGACTTGCTGAACTTTTACCGCTGCATTGATAAAAATACGTACAAAGAGTTGCGCATAAACGCTCTAAAATGTGCCAGCTTATTTGGTTCTACCTATATATGTGAACAAACCTTTACAATACTAAATAATAATAAAACAAAAAATCGAAACCGCCCTGCAAATGAAAGTTTGGCAGCAGTTTTACGTGTTGCTACAAGTAAATTTGAGCCAAATATAAAAAAGATTGTAAGCACTATGCAGTGCCACGCTTCAAATTAATAAATTCTTTTTCAATTTTAATACATTATTATCAATTCTTTATTGTCTTTAATTACCTATACTTCTGGCGGCCCGCCATCAGTTCATAATTTGCCCGAGTGGCCCCTAGTCTTAATAAGTCTGTGCATCACTGATTTAGACTGTGTGTTTAGCAGGGGCGGCAAGAGCTTAAAACGAAGGGTGAAAGCATAAAACAGAATAAATGGGGCTATTCACTCTATTGTGGAAAGTTAGAATGTGCTAAAAAGGTACGTATATATTTACAATACTGTGTTAGTCCCTACCTATGGTAGGGAAAATTGAGTGTGGTAGAAGAAGCATGAGAATAAAATTAATGCTGTAGTAATGCGGACATTACATAGTATGTAAGGGGTAACTCTGAGTGATAAGGTAAGAAATTGTGTGATAAGATAATAATTAAGTGTAATTTTGACTCAAGTATTATTATTATAATTACGTCAATGTACAGGGTTATTTTTCAAAGAGTAGCCAAATTTTAAACTTAAGTTCAAATATATAAATAATGATATATTATTTTGCAGTTTTTTCAAATACGAGTAAATAAGGCTTCTACTTTTATTTGAAATTGTCTCAAATTGAATGTAATTTATGGGCAACAACGTGTTTGCCTTCCGATTGATCCTTACGATAGTGTGCGTGCGCAGTAAAAAATCAGTTAAAATAATACATTATAGCACGCATTTTGAATTTATAAAATAAAAAGGACAGAATGTTTGAGATTTTAATTTATTTTTCTTCGCCATTTGTCTATACTACTTATTCTTAACCTTCTCTGCAAATGGACGGTTATTGCAAAACAACCCTGTATTTAAGTAAGTCAAAAACCCCTCAATAGTCAGTTTATCATTTTCGCTTAAACGAACCGTGTTCACTTTATTTGACACAAATATTTATAACTTCTATCGTGCTAATAATGACATAAAATTGAAGAAAAAAACATGCTGCTTGTTGTTTACACGAACCTTGATGCTGATTCATCGTCCGTGAAGGTTGGCGCATTATATAATATTCGTATTTATGTCCCCTTTATAAGAAGCAATTTTATACAGTATCTGTCTTTCAATCTTAAACTAATCGTCGCCCGCTATTCGAAATTCGACCGTAATTCATTGAATTTTTAAGTTTGCATATTAAGCAAGCTGTTTAGATATTTAACTGAATAACGCAACAATCCCAACGCATAGTGATTATTATACTCCTTATCCCTACTCTGTGCTACTGTTTGAGCACAGACTATTAATATGTGATTGACTTTGGCGGTATGAATGTAAACAATGAATGTTTTATTTAATTAAATATTATTGTAACACATATTATTTATAAATCTGCACGCCTTCTCTATATTTACGTGGTAGAGCTAGAGCCATGCTGTAACTATATATATATATATATATATATATATATATATATATATATATATATATATATATATATATATATATATATACAATAATGGGTCGACTCGCCCGGGGAAGGACCACGCTCTCACGGAATACCAGCGTGAAATATCAGCTCCATAGTGCTGTGTTTCGTATGGTGCAGAGAACCTGAGACGCTTTTTACTGGTAACGAGGTATTCCATCTTAGTCCTAAGGAGTGGCAAAGCATGTGCATTTTGATTCTTAGGGCTGTGTGCTTGTTTGTCACCCTTATGCCATAAAAAAAAACTTTAATCTCACAATTCCTCGTGCCCACAATATGCTATAAAAGGGGTACAAATTTTTCTGTTCACGTTAATACCTATTAATATTATAAGTATATATCAGGTACCAATTTTTATTTTTCAAGTTTAATTTAGTATATAAAATAAGAATAAAAGTGTGATAGCGGCATAAGTTTATATTTAGTTTAAGTTTATATTTAGAGGCACGCTATCGGCTATAATATTGTCGTTTAACTATACCAAATCTCACAATCCCCCGCGCACGCTATTAGCTGTAATATTGTCATTTAACTATACCAAATCTCACAATCCCCCATGCACGCTATCAACTGTAATATTGTCGTTTAACTATACCAAATCTCAAAATCCCCCATGCACGCTATCAGCTGTAATACTATCATTTAACTATACCAAATCTCACAATCCCCCATGCACGCTATCAACTGTAATATTGTTGTTTAACTATACCAAATCTCACAATCCCCCATGCACGCTATCAGCTGTAATACTATCATTTAACTATACCAAATCTCACAATCCCCCATGCACGCTATCAACTGTAATATTGTCATTTAACTATACCAAATCTCACAATCCCCCGTGCACGCTATCAACTGTAATATTGTCATTTACCTATACCAAATCTCACAATCCCCCATGTACGCTATCAACTGTAATATTGTCATTTAACTATACTAAATCTCACAACCCCAATCCCCCGTGCAAGCTATCAGCTGTAATATTGTCGTTTAACTATACCAAATATCACAATCCCCTATGCGCGCTATCAACTGTGATATTGTCGTTCAACTATACCAAATCTCACAAACCCCCGTGCACGCTATCAGCTGTAATATTGTCGTTTAACTATACCAAATATCACAATCCCCCGTGCACGCTATCAGCTGTAATATTGTCGTTTTACTATACCAAACCTCACAATCCCCCATGCAAGCTATCAGCGGTAATATTGTCGTTTAACTATACCAAATCTCTCAATCCCCCATGCACGCTATCAGCTGTAATATTGTCGTTTAACTATACCAAATATCACAATCCCCTATGCACACTATCAACTGTAATATTGTCGTTTAACTATATCAAATCTCACAAACCCCCGTGCACGCTATCAGCTGTAATATTGTCGTTTAACTATACCAAATCTCTCAATCCCCCGTGCACGCTATCAGCTGTAATATTGTCGTTTAACAATACCAAATCTCACAATCCCCCGTGCACGCTATCAGCTGTAATATTGTCGTTTTACTATACCAAATCTCACAATCCCCCGTGCACGCTATCAGCTGTAATATTGTCGTTTAACTATACCAAATCTCTCAATCCCCCGTGCACGCTATCAGCTGTAATATTGTCGTTTAACAATACCAAATCTCACAATCCCCCGTGCACGCTATCAGCTGTAATATTGTCGTTTTACTATACCAAATCTCACAATCCCCCGTGCACGCTATCAGCTGTAATATTTACGCGAACACTACACATTGAATAAAACTACTATTATGGATTTTATCGCGTTTAATTAACTTATTTTAAATTAACGACGTTTCGGTTGGTTTCCAGCAACGATGGTCACGGGGGACTGAGGTGATTGATGGTTGCTGGAAAGCAACCGAAACGTCTTGAATATAGAATAAGTTGATTAAACGCGATAAAATCTGTAAAAGTAGTTTTATTCAAGCTGTAATATTGTCGTTTAACTACACCAAATCTCATAATCCCCTGTGCACGTAATATGCTATAAAAGGGGTACAAAATTTTTTTTTCACGTTTTATTATTATGTATCAGATACCTAGTTTTATTTTTGAAGTCAAATATAGTTTGTAAAATTAGAATAACAGTGTGATAGGTGACATAAATTCATTCTTAGTAGAGGCACGCTATCAGTTATATTTTTGCTGCACAATTGGGTCGGCTCGACGAGAAAAGAACCACGCATCTCAAAGAACAGCAGCGTGAAATAGCAGCATAATACTGGTAAAGGATTAAAGATTCCCCCCTTTTTGAGTAATCCATCATAATTCTTCGTGTAACAACGTATCAGCAATTTTATCCTTACTTTTAATAGACGTAAGTGCCTATAAGCTAAAGCATGCGAAAAAGGAGAACTTCGTGCTGGTTTGCGACCATATATATAAAAACAATATAAACAAATATCATTGCAACCCTAGATATATAAACAATTGAAACCATCAACCCATTTCATTCCGTAGATTTCTAAAAAGGCCACTTAGAGTCATCATCATTACAGCCTTTCATAAGTCCACTGCTGAACATAGGCCTCCCCCAAGGAATGCCACAAAGCACAGTTGT